CTTGATTAAGTAAAACTGTAATGGCTTGATTATTTAAGCTACCTTTTTCAGTTTTCTTTTTTTAGGTGCTATAATTGATTTTGAATATGATTAATCTATGGATTACGTTATTTCATAATTGGCTACGATTTGTTTATTTTCACTTAAGTCATAGAACAATCTACAAATCTCTAACCTTAAGTGTAAAAACATGCAGGAACCATAAGACCCAAATGGTCAAGAGAAAGCATAGCCAAGTGACCAAACGAAAACCACATGCCAGACACAAAAGGTCGTAAAAGTTCATCGGTGACCAAGTAGGCCGCCCAACCGGCAGCAAGGGTGTTTGTGGCACATGTCAGGTGGAGGATCATAACAGGAAAGGGAGAAGGGAATTGCGTGAAAGAAGAATGTGGAAAGTGCGTGGAAGAAGTGGGGCAGAACGAGTGCAGAGAGGGAACGTCCAACGTCCAACTGGTTCCACCGTTAGCGGGAATGTGGTTGATTGCGGCAAGTTGGAACATGCGCGAACCACCTGGTAGTTGCGCTAGCTGATGGTCGGTGTTGTAATTGCACATGTCCCACTTACGAGACCTAGATAAGCGCATCTTGCGGCAGATGAGGCGGAAAGTGTTTTAAAGTCCAAATTGCCGGCGGAATTATTGGGCAAAATGGTCCTTCGAGCCGGATTAAGAAAATAGTCCTTCGAGCCGGATTAAGAAAATAGTCCTTCGAGCCGGATTAAGAAAATGGTCCTTCGGGCCGGATTGTGCAAAACTGCCATTTTCGGAGCTTAATGTTTTGGGGACGTATTGAACAAATTATTCACGGGTATGAGATTTAAAATGGTGCTGTGAGGTATACACAGACTAGCTATGTTAAGACAATAGTAACTCTTTAGCATATGAACATTTTGATGCTTGTTAATAAGTTTAATAATATTTGGTAGTTCAACTTTGTTTAAAAAACATATTTTGATCATTATAAGTTTTGTTTGCTTGTATTCAACACAGACTTTTTCAAATTTTGTATACCTTTCGTGTAAATAAAGTTATGAGTGCTGTAGGTAGGTCAATTGATGTACGTGCTGCTGATATACGCCGATGATAGTTAAACTTTATTTAGAAAAGCCATCTGTTGTTTTTTAAGGAATTTATTCTCCTAAGATAAGCTCATGTTTTCGTAAACAGTTGATTCATTCATTTTACTAAGGCATACTTTTACGTTTCCTCAGCCTTCATGAACTGCGTCTATAAACAATATCTGCTATTTTCACAACTTTCGTTTGTAATGTTTGGCGTATCTCGCGCATAATGTGTAGCCAAGTAAGCAAAACGCCATGCATAACCAGCTTTCCCCCATTAAGAGGGGGAATACGTAGTTGTAAACAGTTTTATCACATCATTATCCGAGATGTTTGCTCTGCATGTTGATTCGCAGTTTGCATTCCTGGCGAAATTGCGCTTCTCTCGACTATTAATTGGGTTGCATTCAATTACTTCACTCCCTAATATAGTTTAACAATTTCTTCGCTAATGTTAAATTAATGTTTAGGAATTGAACATTAATGTATCTAAGTAAAGCTAACAATGCTATAACTTAAGACGAATTACTAGTACGGATTACTGTATTTCCTGCTGAACCTTTCCCCACATTATCCGCTAGGTGCTTTAAAGCATCAGTGGTAACTAGAGAGTAATACATATTTTGGGTATGAATTTACAATTTACAGTACTTCTATAATTGCAGTCATCACTGGTCTGCTTACATCATCAGTCAATGAGTTTAAATCGTTTGAACCCTTTTTCAGTTAACCCCCTCAACTGCAGTTAAAATGCAGGTGTTCCTTCCTGTTCCAACAATGTTACATTACATTTGTTGGCCAAACGCCATTAAACTTCCATAAGTGTATAAGGGGGTTCAAAACGGATATCAGTTTTACGCTAGCCGCTAGCCTATAGGTATTACGCTATAAACTCTTATAGGCCTTAGCAATAAACAAATTAAATTTAACCAATAAATACAACATTGCAATACTATGCTATGTTTAGAACGAAATATCTAACTAAATAAAATATCAGATGAGTTATTTTTTACAGTGTAGTTATTTCCTATATCTCCGTAAAACCCCACTTTCGTCAGTAAAATTACGTCCCGAAACGTCCCATGTAAACAATCGATAAACCAAAATCTTAAGAAAAGCGCTTATCTAAAAGCTACTATTGTAAAACTCAATTATCGTGTCTTTCTTAGTACTTTAAGTACATAATTCCTCACATCTTTCCGACAATCCTTTACCGTAACGCAACCCCTAAAATGTAAAGATATTCCAACACTAATATCATTTTCATTGTGACACGCTAATTCAAACATCCTTTATTTATATTTCTCAACTGTCCAACCTCCATAGTGTAGTTGGTACGTAATTCTTGTCAACTTTCCGTCACTACTGTGACTCAACCATTAAACGTTTAAAGATAAGAGAATGAAGTGTTTGACTCTCCCACCATTCCGACTGTTCAATCAGTCTCATTAAAGTTATCTTTCCTCTCCGTATCAGTGATAGGACAGACGAAGATGCTCCAGTTAAGTGAGTGAAGTGAATCGTACGATTAAAGTAAGCCTGTGTTATGGACTCTTGGTTCAATTTTACATGATGTGTTTCAGTTTTATTTGTTTTATTGCATTTGTTCGTGGATTATTCGTTGAAAAGACGTTCGTGAGAAAATTCTGAACCGATTGTGGATGTGTATTCTCTAGGTTTTATTTTCAGAACGTAAACTTTGGAAAATCCTGTTTTTTAGTTTTTTGTTTCAAAAGTAGGCTATACAAGTTATTGAAATTTACTTATTTTATTTAACTATATTACTAGTAGCCCTAAAGAGTGAATATATATATATATATATATATACCGGTATATAAGTCATTATTTAGCTTTTTAGTTTTAGCGCTTGCGGACACATTTTGAGGTTTTCACAGGCTGTTGCAGACACGTAGGAACCATTCTGCTTTGGGGATCCTGTATAGACGAATAGGTGAATACTTTTGTTATTTTGTGAATTAAGTTATTATGACAATTTAATTTTACTGTTTAATCAAGGCCCCACTCAATGAACATTTTATGTTGTTTTCGGTGTGACAATCAATTAAAGGTAAAATTACCTGTGTCCGCCGGTCGATAATAGGATACAACAGGATCGACCGGCGGACACGGGTAATTTGACCTTTTATTGATTGTTTGATGTAGTTTAAACCCGGGGCAGTTAAAAGGGCTGATTATAATCCCACATTTGGGACTCTTGCTTTGACAAAACCAATTTTATTTTTTGTTCTAATTTATTTGAAAATATTTATTATTCGTGTACCGGTATATGACAATGTTGTGTTTCCTTTTACAAGGGAGTTGTTCAAACTGTTAAAATTAATATTCTGTCAATCATGACAGATATTTGTTGATATTTGTTGACAAGTTTTTATTTCTTGATATCTTTATTAAAATCTATTATTTCTTACTACTACTACCGAATCTCACCAAAAAACATTCGTACTATACAATAATTAGTGAGCTCTCTCTAGCTCGTAGTGCAGTCTTTTACTTGCTTCTGCAGAACTTACTTCTTTGTAGAATGTCTAGCCACACATATGAACTTCTTTAAACCATTAAAATAACCATACTGACGATTAGTGGAAGTGGAGTAGAAGTAAACGAACGTTAGTCCATCCCCACTTCTATAGCGATAAAAACTCGGCCCGGTAGTAGAACCTTGCGGGACACCAACTTTCTAGGAGTTTACGTTGCAGTGCTAGCTACCATCTGAGGATTGTAGAAATCTCAGACTAGACCAGACTTCTAGGCATCTTGTGAATGGTCGTGCTCAATGGCCAGCTGACCATTTGCCCCATTCATGGACCGTTCACTCACACATACGCACGTAATGGACTGTTTCCTGTCACACCTTGCTAGGTCTCTGTACAGTGTCTTGTCCATCAGTCAGGCTGTTCTAGGTAGGCAGACCTGTACCCGTCCAGTGTGGGCTGTCTTTATGTGGAATTGTCATTGACTTGAATCAACATCCAAGTTGAAGTTGGCAACGTACAGGATGGAAGACTTGAATGGTTCAAGTTGTCGTAAAAAACGTTATGTCATACTTGGAAGAGTTGTCTGTGATAACTAAGATGTCACGTTATTCGATGAGTTTATTTTGTTTACACAGCCCCACAAATATTAGAACAGAAACTGTATGGATCATAAAAATAAACAAAGGACTTCACAGGCCCGAAAGTAAACATGTTTATATTAATTTTGAATGGAACTGACAAAAACGTTCAAACCAGTTGTTACAGCTATTATAATATAGACGTTCGTATCAGGGACGTCATTTGTTTATGATTAGGATCGATACAGTTTCTGTTCTAATATACGTGCATATTCCTATTCGGCGATCTGAGCAAATTAGATCGGCAATTATTGCATTTAGACCAGATGTAGACCAAACAAACCTCCATAGTACACTACATTCTGCTTGTTTCCAAAAGATCTACTTATAAATAATTGTCTTTCCAAAAGTGATCACTGTTACGATATAACAAAAACATAGGTGTCTGCAGTTTATTTTCAGACAAGATACAGCCATCTTAGCAAACCACTTCTAGAGTACGTCACATTCTGCTTGTGGTCAAGGGCTCGATGACAAAAATGACGTCGTAAAGGATATCGCTCGTGGTTATCCACCAGACATACAATATTCAATTTTGGTTTGGGTGCAGCTGAAATAGGTATATGAAGAGTGAAACCTGGGTCTCAAAAACTAAAGATGAAACCCTGCAGCATAACATAGTTAACATGTTCTATGTATGCTGTTAACTTGTGATTGAACTATGACCTCAACTATATACCTGGAATATACGTCCCTTACGTACTAACTTCTTTCCAAATAGATCTTCCAAATTTCCTTAAGAACCTTACAATTCCACTAAAATCTCTCAAGTTTTGCCACTTAATCCGAACTTAATTGTTGCAGTGATGTGAGATCCGAGCTTGGGTCATGGGAGCCAACATGGGCAAGAACTCCTCCTTCCTGGACTCTCTGCCCTCGACCCAGGCCACTCTCCACGTGGTCATGTTGGGACTGGACAGCGCTGGCAAGACCACCGCACTCTACCGGCTCAAGTTCGACCAGTACCTCAACACAGTGCCCACCATAGGCTTCAACTGCGAGAAGGTATAAATGTTGATAGTTTTCTAAAATGTATCACCTTTGGTCAATTCAATAAGCTTTGCTGTAACATTGGACGTTCCTTGGGCGAAGACCAAGGGAATCTTGACATGATTAAGCCTATAAATCTTGGTCGGGTTTAAGCTATTCCTATGTGTAATTTCCCACCCTATAGTCTGTGTGGTGGAATCTGATTTCTTCCCTTCCACCTACCTTTGACTGGCCCGGGCCTTAAACCATTGGTCAGTCCCCAGAAAGACCGGGTCAGAATACAGGTTCCATCATACTTACTATAGTATATTTGAATAGCGTTACGATAGCTAGGAACACCATTCGCACACTGAAATTAACACCTTAAAATATTTTATGGATTTAAATGTTTTATGGATTTAAATATTTTACGAAGCTTAATGATGTATGTTTCACGTTTATCCAAGTGATTTCCGATTTGGTCTGGGTGAGAGGTTTATAGGGAGACAATTTAAAAATTAGGATTTAGAGGTGAGAAGATGTTTAAAAACAGCAGAGTAGTGTACGAGTAACCCATACTAGAAATAAAGAAGTAAATCTTTGAATTCAGCTAAAAGTAACACAATTCTGAAAAAATAGCGTAAGCCTAACAAAATTATTACATTGCAAACCTATAACAACAGTGGGGAGTGGCATACAATGTGTGGGTACTATTGCACAGTGAATATTCAGATTCCAAGTCATTGTTTGTGGAGTAACCAGGCTGGAAGGTTAACTTCAAACAAACAACCCCTTTCATATTTGTTGGATTGAATTAGTGTAGCCTATTCAATAAACTGTAATAATTTTGTATTGTGTGTAAAGTTGGACTTTAATGCTACACAGCAACTAAAAAAGAACTGAAATCCCATGGAAATTCGAAACTCCTTGTTTCTAAATTAGTGTTGGGATACCTAATTGATTTTCACGACACTGACTATTGCAAAATTCTAAATAAATCATTAGTGACCTCAACTAAGTTTTTCCTTGCCCTTTGACAACCTTCCTCAGAGAACTTTCATAATTCTCACCAAAATTATTTTCCAGGTCAAAGGAACTCTGGGAAGAGCGAAGGGCATCAACTTCCTCGTCTGGGACGTCGGAGGGCAAGAGAAACTACGACCGCTCTGGAAGTCGTACACCAGATGCACCGACGGTATAGTGTTTGTGCTGGACTCTGTTGACGTGGAGAGAATGGAAGAGGCCAAGATGGAACTAGTGAGGACCGCTAGGTCTCCGGAAAACACGGGAGTTCCTATCCTGATCCTGGCGAACAAGCAGGACCTTCCGGGAGCCAGGGAACCCAAGGAGCTCGAGAAACTTCTAGGACTCCACGAACTGGGCGGGTGTACCCACTCGTGGCATATCCAACCTGCCTGTGCCATCACGGGGGATGGTCTTCACGAAGGGATGGAGGCCTTGTACGAGATGATTCTGAAGAGGAGGAAACTCGCGAAACAGTGCAAGAAAAAGACTAGATAAAACAACACTAGTAGCCTGTACAGTCTTCTCCGTCTGTTCTTGTTTTGTTGTAGATGTTGCTGTTCTGGCAAAGTGTCTGTTGAGGAAGCACAATGAAGAGTCTTTGCAAACTTGACAAATAATTATTAGGGACAAGTAGCTCTTTACCTGATTGAATGGCTTCTCTCATTTTAACGCTCATCCCCGTTGTTATAGTTTGTGTTATCAAAAATTACATATAATTTAAAATTTTCAAGCAACTGTATCCTTTATTGAACAGAGAAAAACAATTGTTGGCTACAAAAAGTTGACAGATATCAATATAAAAAGAATCTGTCTTAGATTATTTCAATTGGAATTCGTTAAAATATATATTTTAAACATTCACACTAATCACACTTTTCTTTAATTTAAAACTCCTCTGGGGGAAAGCAATGTTTTAAGTGTAATTTCCAACGAAGAGCATAAAAGTGTTAAAAACCCTCTTAATTTTCAAACTGTTTTCAACACTTGAATGGCCAATTTATAAAACAGTCCCGTCGAAAACGAGGTCATAGCAAAACTTGTCGGCTAATGCATTGCCACTGTGGTTGGTCGGTTGGTGGTTCACTCGACCTACTTTGGTAGCCAAATAATTTATCGAACTACTTACACTCAAAACTGTAGTTAACCCATTTATTTCAGTGAATAGGACACTTTGCTTCAACAGTTTTAACCCGTAACCGTTGTACATAAGATATTTCTATTTATGTAAATACCCTTTAGACTGTGTAAAACCCACCTATCTGCGACCAATTATGTACGCTAGACGTATTCAAGCGGGTAAATAAATTCTGACGGCGCAATTTTAATTTTAATCGAAATAAAATAGTCCATTATATTAATTTGTGCCTTATCGTAATCTTTGGAAGTGACATTCTTTTGTAAGTGATATAGGAAAATAAATTCAGAATTTCGTAGACTGTAGTAAACACTAATATCTATAATGTTAAAGCACAAAATATGTAAGGTTAACCGTCAATATTTAAGTTTGAAACAATTTGAAGTAATGATGAATTTGGAATTTTTCAGTTTTCATAATTTATTCACCCAACTTTTCTGAGATTTGCATTCAATTCATTCTGGTTCTGCTCTACGATTCCCTCAGAGCACTAGAGATCGAGATACGTCACGATTGGAGATAAACCTGTTTTTGTTCTGGGGTTTGATTAGTAAACCGGAAATGAAATTCGTTGAACCGGAAGTGAATTTTGGTTCCGGTGGGCAAAGAGAACGGAGAGCGAATCAATATAGGGTCACGAGTTGAGTTCGTGCGAAACGTCTGCTTACGTCATAAAATTGCATAACTAAAAATTACCACGGTGACCTTTAAAGTTTGATTATTGAGTCTTTTGTTTCCATCTTTGAGTGGCGGATTTTGCAATCTTTTATTGTTTATACATCTTTCTACAGAATTACCTACATTGCAAATATTTAATATATGAATTCTGAAACTATATGGACGAGATTGAATGCCGGTTACTGTATATTGATTTTAACATTAAAATAATGTTTTTACATTCGAAATATTATAACATATGTGGATATTACATTTTATTGAAAACCCGAGATATGTGAGTAAAACTGCGGGAGTGTCCAAACAGTTATATAGTGCTCATCTTCAAATTAGAAATTGCTGGTTTGATCCAGCAAGTCAGAATCTGGACCTAGATGTAATTTTTCATTGGGCTATCAATAAATGATGATATCAGACTTTTTTACTTCTTAAGTTAAAAAAAAAAACAATTTTAAAAATCTGAATGCATCATCATCAATTCAAATTGTTTCTATTAATACTCAGTAGGCCTAACTAACCAGCCATTTCGCAGTTACGATTTCACACCTGTATTCGTATTAGAAAAAATGCCAGAACAATAAATAGATAAGATTTCCCAGTAATATTCCACAATAGAATCTTTCAGCATAAGCTAGTCACAGTAAACTCTACTCATATATTTTCTTATATGCTCATTAATTTAAACAACGTAGGAAATTGTTTAAACTGCATTTCATGAAATGGGTTGTGTTAGTTTGATATATGTGTCAAATTTATTAAAACTCTGTTTTTTGGCCTACACTTGACATTTTTTCAACTAATGTTATTTTAAACTTGCTAAATCAGTTAACCCTTCACATGAATGTACTGTATAATCTGCTATATTTTTAACCTTTTTCCCTGCGGTTATATTTTGTGCAAAAATCAAAATTAGTCATATCTATTTTTATATAAAACGGCATATTTTAATCGTTTATGCTTGACTGAAAATGTTTGTTGTTTTCCGAGTTTGTTTCTATATTGAATGTTTTCCGTGTCGGTGTTATGCTTTGTTTGTTATACTAGTCATGAGAATTGTTATTGTATATTTTGTTGTAAATATGATTTACCATTAGTTTTGCTCAGTACCGCTTAACCTCGAGTCCGTGACGGGCGGTTTATGTTTAGATGTAGATTTTGTAATTAATATGCTTAAAATTATCATGTTTATAAAATAAAGTATATATTTAATCGTAATTAGTGTGTCTTTGTTTCCAAGTCCCGACTATAATTTAGAAAGTGAGACATTTGCTGTTGGAATAAGCATTGGTAAGTCAGGGAAATGCATTGGCAAAGTTATCTGGCATTGGTAGTAAAGTTAGTATAGATATGAGAGAATGGGGTTCCTGTCCTACAGGTTCTGGTTCAAATCCCGTTATTCGCTAATGGCTCTTGACTGACATACTGGTCAAAGATTTGGGTCCATCTATCAATAAGGAACCCTCAGGCGAGTACATTTTCTTGCATCATTTTGGTTTATTCATCACAATGAAATACAATTAACTACGTTAGGGTTGATCATAACGTATTGTACACAATAGTGGAAAACTAAACAAATCCTACAGAACACTCCACAAACCATTCAAGTGGTACCAATCTCATAACGCATAAAGTATAGCAAGTAGGGTGTTTCCTATAAACGTCTAGTAGGTAAATCAACTAAGTTTTGATCAACTATATCTACATTTAAATCGACCACCTATAATCATGGGTACTTGTTCATATTAAACAGATCATGCTTCTCTTTTTCAAATGTTTGCTGGGACACTATTACGTTAAAAATTTAATAAAAAACTAAAATTATTTTACTAATCTTAGCCAAGTAGTTGAATGGTATAAAATGGTCTGATGGCAATGGTATAAGTGTTCGCTTGATAATCAAAAGGTTACTAGTTCGATCCTGAGAAAAGTCTATCTTTTTGATACGTTAACGCTGCTCGTAATCATTGACATTTTAGTTAAATTATCCTAACTAAAGAAACAACTGGACAAGTAAATAGAAACCACACAAGGAATTTCACTTTTATATATAATTTCTTAAAAAAAATAGACTTCAAATATGCCAAATTGCGTTCTTATCAAGATAAAAAATATGTTGTCTTAAAGATTTTGAAATTTACAGAAACTGATAATAGAAAAGTTTAAAAAATATAAACTACATTAGCCTCAAAGAAAACATTAGAAAAATGTTTAATTCAAGCAGTTCAACCAACGTCAAAAGTATGTTAATTTCTGTCCTCTGATCAAAAGTGAAGTATTCAACTCAGCCGAGTTGGTTAGAAGAGCTGATGTAAAGCTTTGTTTTGTAAATTTCAAGTTTGTTAGGAAAGTTCGTTCCAGTTAGTGAATAATCTTGGATGCTTGAATTCATAAGTTTTTTTTATGGTAATATTTATTTATAATACTCCTTTTATGTTGGTTTTAACAATTTATTTTTCAAGAAACTGCTAGTCTGATTTGTAAATTAGATTTATTGAACATATTTAGGCAAATAAATCTGAAAATAAAATAACTATATATGTATAACTCAAAGTTTTCAAAACACCTTCTTTATAACGGAGAAATAAACCAATTTGTGTACATTCAAAAGGATAGACAAATGTGTAACGCATTAGAAAACTACCTTAAACGATGAACACTAATTTTACTGTATTACTGTAATAATATAGTAATAAGTTTACTGAATATTGATAATTTATGTTCCTTTATAAAATGTCGAAACAAAGTTGGTTTTAAATATACAATGTCTGTTTTAACAAGTTTGATTCTATTCATAAAAATTGTTAAATTAATTTGATGAAATTCATATGTTTTGTATACTAAAAGTGTCTTTTTAAAAGTAAATCGAAATCTGCATGGCCCTTTACAAATAAAGTCAAAAATACATTAGCATTAAGCGGAAAATGTACAAAATGGTCCAATAAAGACGAAAAGACGAGCAGGTTGTTTAACCTCAACAAAAGAGCGCTGCTTGTAAGATAAATTGTTGATAACAGTTTTAAAAGTTTCTTTCCACCTCTATCTCACGTCTTCAGGTCAACGTTCTTTTCTTTTGATAAGTGGCGTTATCACTGACTTGTGAGGTCATTGATAAGACGTTTTCCACACCACCTTTTCTTTCTTTCTCATAATTTTCTCTAAATGCTAAGGGGTTTATGTCTGGAACAATTTGTTTGTATTAAAACAATTCGAAAGATTTTCATGATACTGGATATAGTTATAAATATCTTGTTCCGATATCTTGATTCCAAAAAATATTTGTATTTGAGATTTTGAAACGTTCGATATTTTAAAATGTTTTTTATCTTCGTGGTTTAAACTTAAAATATATATTTAAATTTACAAACTGATAGCAACAATGCCTATCACTTAAAAAGCTAAAATTCGAGTAAAAATTAGGTTATTATTCGTCTTAACAGGTGAAACCAAATTCTAATCACCTACTTAAGCAATTAAGACCTTACTTAAAATGTAGTTTTATATTTAGGTCTGGGAGTAAATAATTTTAAAGGATTCCTTTGCTTGGCGAGGTTTTCACCCCATTCCTTCACTTCAGTCAAGTGGGGGTTGGTTCGTTTCCCACAGCCCTCGAGGCGTTCCCTTAGTTGGGGCGAATCTTTATTACAAATTCCATTATATTAATTTTAAGATAACACAATAGCATACATTATGTTTGCAGACACCATTTGTTTTAATTAAATATTTTAAATGTATTCAACGAATTTGGGAACAATTTATTTACATTAAATATTTGTATAATTAATTCATAATATGATATTAATTATGATAAATAAATAAAATATGATTTAAACCAGCATTATAGACCGCGGGAAATGCCTGGAATAGTAAATACTAGGCCATTAAATACCATACATAGCATTACAAATTCCTTTTCTGAAATGGCAACGCATCATATCGCTTTGATAAAATAACAAAACCCCATTAATAACTTTATTAAATTATTTAAATTTGTAGGATACAATAAAACTTGTAATTTGTATTACTTAATTCAATGCAATTAATATGTTTACACTCAAGTCCAATATTATTCTTTTAAATACATAACGTATATTTACCATTATTTTTAATCTGCTTTAATTTAAAAGACAAGGTAAACGTATAAATTTTTCCGTCTTCTTTGTTACAGGGGTTTTTGTTTAATTTTCTCTTAGCCTGTATGATTGACCTTTACAAAATTATTAACGAAATAAAAATATTATTTATAAACTACTGTTTCCTTTGTAAAATTACAACTTAAGAGTAAAACTTGCAGTGTAAAATGGTTCTGTTGACATCAGCGCATTTAAATGCAACTAGAGTTGCAGAATCCAAATTCATAATTTTGATGTTATCAAATTAAAAAATATATATATATATTTACTATCCTAATACATATAAACCTAACCCCTATTTATTGGGATTTGCTTTAAAATAACTTCTATGTCGAATAAAATCCCTGTCATGTTTTATAGAGTACTGCACTCTTGTTACCTTATGTCATACATGTTTATAGCTCGAATAACGAATGTTCTCTGTACTTTAGCCTCCTAGAGGTCGTGGACGTCTATTCAACTGATAACGCCAAGGTCATTGATAACAAGGCATTGTTGTTAACCGTTATTTGAGTGATAAACCTATGTATGATTACAATAAGGGATACCAAGAACACCACTGAAAAACCTTGATGTAAATTTCCGAGATATGTTAAAAAATATTGTGCAAATTGGCAATAGTGGAACACTTGTCTTTCTAAAACTATGAATAAGCTGCGTTAAACTTGTTTTATTGATTCACAAAAGATGAGCATTGACTTTGGAAACTTCAAGCAGGTTTTTCATGCTATATCTGAAACTTGTTTTCATGTGGTTTTTATGTTAATTTGCATATCGTTGTGCTGATGTCGAGTAAGTTTTCTCTTCAATTTTATAGTGATTTGGGGAGTTTCACTCTTTCATTATTCCATCAGAAGACAAACAATAAACAATACATAGAAAGTTTTATTTGTTCCTAATTGTTCGTTTAGGAATTAGTTCTAAAATCACGTAATACAACCAACAAAGTATACAAACAGTGACAAAACAAATAATCAACATGCTGTTGCATGTTTAGGGATTTTAAACACGGAATAATTTTTCCAAGAAGATACCAAGTCATTATAGAACTCGTTTTCGCTGTAGAACTCCACTCTCCTTCACACTGATTGCTACGTAACGTAGCCTTGAATGAACATCTTAAGAATCGATTGAAGCTAATACATAAATGTTTTTCTTCACAAACCAGCCAGGTATTGTTGCAAGTGGTTTGTATGCGGACCATTGTATCGTATCGTAGGTTTGGTTGTTAGCTTGTAATTTTTTTTTTTAAATAACATATTATATCAACCATTACCTTTCTTTTTATTTTAGATTATATAAGTGAAGTATCAAGGAAATAGGTAATTTTACCATTCATTTTCAAAATGTTATATATGCAAAGTAGTATTACACATCGACTAAATTTTTTAAAGTTAAAACATTAGAGGTATGAATTGGAGTAAACATTAGGATTTTCTAATTTAAAAGTAATGTAAATACCAAAAGTAAAGGTCGTGGTTTTATTTATTTATTTATCCCTACTGATTATACCATTTTACCACGTCAATTACAGTGATCAAGGTGGCATTATGAGTTAAAGAAAACAAAATGAGAGGCCTAATTAAAATAACAAGAACTACATAGTGAGAACAAATATGTGGCAAGATAGTTAAACTATGGTATACATAATGTAGATAAGATAACAAACAATAAAGGATATAAATTAGATAACAAACAATAAATAATAGAGAGATTTTAATGGTGTCTATATGTAAGGTAAACCCTTGGAGAGGTGTATAGTCAATGGTAAAATGCAGGTGGATGTTCAGTTCTCTTTTCAGTTGTCAAGAGTCTTTAAATCACACCAAAATCATTTGTTAATACCCCACCGATCAATTCCGTATGGTTCCGTATATTTTTTAATTAGTCGTGTTTTGCAGTTCAATTTGAAATTTTTGCATTGTGTTTGTACATACGCACAGCACAAAATAAGTAACAAAATGTACAGAAAATTTTAAGTTATCGTATTTTTTACTAAGTTTAAAATTGTAATACTGTCCAATTAGCTAAATATTTTATTTTTCGGTTTGGACATGGTAGGTGAACGAAGCCCCTCAACGGATT